GGAACTCAGCAGGAATTCACAAATGTTTGCTGAAATGTTCTTGTTTATCTTCAATTCAGTTCTTCAAGCATTGCTCAGAGCTTATTACGGCCCAGCCCTTGCTGGGGGAGCTCAGGTTGATCATATAATAAAGATTCCTTCCTTCAAGGAGCTTGAAATGTAGTAGTAGGAAAGGTAAACAGCTCAAACTGACTAAGAGTGATATTTCCTTTTGCCTTCGTTCTATTTAACCATCCCATTAAGAAAACTTCCATTCATGAAGACAGCTTACACTGGGCCATTCAGACTTTCCAAAGGGACTACCACCCCACCTTTGTAAGCAAAACTTGCTCAGCAAATTTAAGTCTGTTTTCCATTTTCTAAGATGGGATGCAGTTGGTGAACGTCTTTACATTGACAGTAGTCCAGGTACACATTTAGCAAAGATCACAGATCTAGGAAGGCCCACATTCCTGAATAAGACACTAGTACAGGTACTCCATCATTGTATACCTCTTTTTGAAATTTGACCCTTGAAATAAAAACATGTCTAAATGTACATCTCTGGCCACTTCTACTGCCTCACCTAATGAAAATTCTGGTTCCTTGCTCAGGACAACCTTCTTTCCCTCACAATCATCATGCCCACCCACAACTCTTCCACACACCTTTGAAAACCTATCCCAAATTCCATTGCCGTGGGGAAGACTCTCCTGAACGTCTCCTCTCCACCTTCAGTAGAGGCGACCTTTCCCTTCTCTGAACTCCCATGCTACTTATTGTCTGCTTCGAGATTGTTTTGCGAGCTTGCATTTTCCCTTGACTCGATTATAAGGCCATGTTTGAAAGGGACAAATCACATCTTGCTCATTGTTCCCTTCCCATAGTGTCTTTCATGCATTCAGTTTTCCATGAACAATCGCTGCACAGAAGGACTGAGCTTGTGGGTCTAACTCAAACCCATTTGTACACACGAGCGTGTGGAATAAGCATTCGGCAGACATCACCATATTTACAATAAAGTCTTCTTGTACTTCACAAGAAGGTACTTCTCACAACCAATTCCTAACTTTTTTTAGGTAGACTTCACTTTTTGATGACTTTAGTGTTTGTTTCCTTTGGGGTGTTTTAATGTATGGAGATTTATCAGTAAAACTAATCTACATTTGGGCTAAGAAATTACTGTCATCCACACAATCTTAAAGGGGGTTGTAGTATTTTATGGTGAACCACTTCCTTGCCTGACCTCCTTTAATGCATGTGATAGTGATTTCACTAATAAAATTTGTCAGCACCCTCCAGTACTCTGCCGATCACTGGAGCATTGTGAAACCAACCGACTGAGGGAGCAAACAGCAGAAGAACTGAAAATAGCCTCCTGCTCACTAGAGACCCACTCAAATGCCACAGCTCCTACAAAGACACTTTCAATCCTGGGTCCTTCCCTTTATTTTAAAGTCTTGGCTACTTTCTTACTTGTAACGGGGCAGGGTGGGGGAAGTTGGAGGGGACCCTGGTAGTATTACATGCGAGAAGCCATACTCCAAAGGCTCTGCCTTCTTCAAGATAATCCCCCCAAATGATTTTCCCCTAACCATTGCCCACCTACTACCAGTTCAGTGTTTCTCAAACTTTCCTCTTTCCCATATCACCTTCAAGGTTCTTGCCTTTTCTGTGCACCGCCTGAGCTATTTTTCACCCAATCATTTTCTTTGTTATTTTCTCTTTTTACTTAAGGAAAGTTTCACCTTAGTCCCCTCAACCTCACACAAAGATCTATAGAGTAGGGGAAGGTGGGGCCTCCTGAATCCTTCCCCTTCTCCCCCAAGATGCTCACTCTTGGCCACAGAACCTTGCACACAAATCGGGCTCTGTAAATAGTGGCAGAATGAGTGAATCTGTCAAAAGTGCTAAGGAGACCATGATCACCTCCCATTCCTCCTTTTTCCTCGTCTTCATTGTAAACACCCCGAAACTAGTGCTCCCAGTGTTGACTGGTAATTTATAAACTCATAAGAGTCTCATTTTGTAATAACCTAAAAGGACAGAGTTGATCCTCATTTTATTTATGTTGAATTATGCTAAAAGATATATAATGGCCTTGTCTGTATGCCTCTCATCTAGTCCTTCCAAACTGACACACACACATACATTTTTAAAATTGTCACAGCGATTAAAAAAAAAAAAAATAGCTCACTACTAAAGTAGGGTGGAGCTGTTCTCCCTCACAGCTCGAGCTGTTTACTTTGGTAATCAACCCAAGCTAGTAAACAACCTGAAGCACAAGTTCAGCCTTTTCCTGAGCCAAATTCATCAATGTAAGACCAAAATACATGTTCATATTTGCTGACACTGTTTAGACAGCTTATGTAACAATATTCAACTCAGCTGGGTAGATTGGCTAACAGTGATATTATAAAATCCTTGGAACAGAAGATTTTAGATTTAAAACAGAATTTTAAATTAAAATAACTAGCTGATGCAGCTTTTCAGAACAACTTTAAAAATCCCAAGCCACAAACATACTCACAAATGAAATATTCACATTATTCACCCACTGCTTTGCTCCCCCTGCATTAATAATACCAAACGAGGAGTTTGACTGTGGGAAAATACACTTAAGATTCCTAGAAATGCAAAGTGATGAACAACTTTGTTTACTTAAATGGCTTAAAAATGTTTACAAAATCCCTTCATCTTGTATCCACAACACCTAGTAAAGTGACCTTCTCTTTATGTGAATTCAGCAAAGGTCTGGTAGTGAGAAAGAACCAAAGGTTGTGAGGATTAACTATTGGAATGGAATATGTCTAGTCCACAGTGGGCACTAAACAGTGGCAACTATGGTCAAAGTCCGCAAACACTCACTGAACAGAAATGTGAGAGATGGCATCAGAAAGTAGAAATTTACCTGAGCTTGGAGGGAGTGATGCTGGGGGGGAGCATTGAGGACCATCCCTCCATGCCTGGGAGGGCTCCAGGCTACACACAGGGGAGACTTCTCAGCTGATCTCGTCCCTGAGGCTTGAGATCCTTCCAAGGGCAGCTGCCTGCCTGTCATCCCTGGATTATCCCAGTGAAGGACTCCCGACTGTGCCCCAAGACTCTGCCGAGCCAAGTGCAAACTGAGGAACTACCCCTTGTCCCTCTGCTTCTCAACAGTCATGGGACACTCACAAGCTCCTCTAAACAGAGGGTGAGGGGCCTTACATCCAGAAGGGTGGGGATAAATTTGGAAGAGAAAGCCCTGTCAGCTCTATTTGGGTGGGACTAAGTCATCAAGAAACTCTTGCCGATAATCATGAGGTTTGGATCCCGGACGCGGCCTGGTGCTTCTGTTACTGGGCAAGACGATTTACTCTTCTGAGCTGCCTTTCTTCATCTGACAACACTATTTCCTTCCAGCTCTTACTTTGTCTGAATTAAAAATTATCCGTTTAAATTATTTCCGTTTTACTGTGTTGACCGTTTAACTGACAAACAGGTTTTCCTTGCTGTACTTCCTTTTCTAAAGACATCATCGCTTCATAAGTTAGCTTTATTCTACAGAACTTATCTTCTACCACTTTGTTCTGGCAATGAAAGTTTCAAATTTACAAAGTATTGAGCTCAGTTCTTCGGATAACTCCTCAGCTTTGTGCATAATTCTGCATATCATTTACATTGAATAAAATGAATGTGGCAAGAAATGAAAAGAAAAATGAAATTCTTGAAACCAGAATACGATTTAAGACCCAGTGTCCCAGAATAGTTCACACCTGCTTTCTGGTTTTGCTCTTGAAAACATATTTGTATTAGTTTCATCACAGACTTAAGGGTCAGATGCCCGCACGCAGCCCTCTGAGGTCTTGCACACGTGGCTTTGGCTTTCAGTCTCTTCATCCATAAACCAAACAGGTGGAACCAGGTCTCTAAAATCCTTTCTAGGCTTTTAGGTCCCAATTGTGATCCACTTTAAGTCGCACTGCGTAGCGGCCAAAATCAACAAAAATCCAAAAAGCCTTATCTAAGTTAGGTACCTGTTCATGAGTCGGGGCCAACGCCAAATTTCTCTTCTCAGTTTTAAGTTTCCCAGATTCCCAGAAAGCTCCCCACTCTGTACTCCTTTTCAGTGTCTATCGAGCTAAGCTCACTTTTTAGCTTCTCGCTGCCTCCCCAGTGACTGTATCTGGCTCGTGTTTCTGTTCTCTGAGCCTGCTGAAATGCCCACTTAACCGCCTGTGCTTTCACCCATCCAGCGCCAAGCCCCCGGCATTCGGAATAATCTATCTCCTCCTCCACCTTTGCCTCTTCTAGGACAGTGTTTTTCAGAGTGGTCCGTGATCACTCCTGGAGTGTCAGTAAAAACTGCAGCTTCCAAGGACCCAAGTTAGACTTCCTGATTCAGAATTTCTGGGGGTGAGGCCAGGGAAGCATCTATTCCACAAGCTTCCCTGGGGATTCTAGGCATAACAGTTTGAAATTCACCTCTCTTTTACCGACTCCGTTTGCAATTATTTTTAAGGGAAAAGGTGCTATATTAGGGATTTTTCCAGGAATATCAGAGAAAAAGGGACAGAGTGAGGCGAGAATCATTCAAAGCTCTATCCAGGGACCTGGCAGCGCTGGCGCTGGCGGCCTATCTAGGCCAAGAAGGAACTCCCGGAGAGAAGAGAAATAAGTCTGGGGCCCGCGCAGCTGATGCCACGTGAGACTGGTGAGAGGTCGGGAGTCAGCGTCCAGGCCACAGCCCTCTGGGCCGCCAAGGCGCGGGAATTGAGGGACAAGCCCTTCGCAGCAACCCAGACTCCGCGACTCCGCCGCGCGCTGGAGGTTGGGGGGCCCCCAGCGGCCACTGCCCTCTGGTTGCCATTAGCAACGGCGACCGGCCCCAAAGACAGCGTGGCGCGAAAAGGCGGGACTTCCTGGCTCTGGCAGTCAACGCGCATGCGGCGGTCGGCCAGTCACACTGCACTTCCTGTCGCGTGATCTTGAGGACCAATAAAAGTGCATGGCTCCGGAGTCACGTGCCTCCGTTCCCAATAGCAACCGGAGGCTTCTAAACAACGTGCCCTGGCGCCCCAGCCTCCAGGTCCGACTGCCCTCGGTGATCCGGGCCTGGCGAGTCTCCGCCTGGGTTCTCCCGCTCCCCTGGGCTGCTGACGCCTGCCTGCCGCCATGGTGAGTAGCCGGCCCGCTGGCGCTGCACCGCGCCGAGGAGAGGGCCGCGGCGGCGGCTGGAGACACGGAGCGGGGGCCCGGAATGATGGCGTGGCCTGCAGCGGATCTGAGGCCGCTGTTGGGCCTCCCTGAGAAGGGGAGGCTGCGCAGGATGCAGAGGCTCGGTTAACCTCGGCCGAAGCCCTTCCGGGATAATCCTAGGTGAAGCCCTCTCCTAGCTGCTTCGCTCCGCCGCGTCGCTTCATTCCTCGCCTCGGCCTGGAGTGCCCGGGCCAAGTCACACCTCGCAGGTGGCTGGTGGAGAGAGCTGGAGGGAGCTCGCTGCCAGCAGAAGGCGCAGGGCGGGATTCTCGTTCGATTCCCCCAAAACCAAGTTTTTACACACACACACACACCACCCCCACCTCGTTTGGCAGCATAAACAATGACGTGTTAACGGGCCGGGGAGGAGAATGTGATCGAATCCAGCTTTCTGATGTGAGAGGGACTTTAAGAACCCAAGCCCCCCATTTTACAGCTGAGGAAACTTGGATGGCATTTCTTTTGGCCTGTTCAAAAGAGGCCACATTTTCTTGTCTGCTGAAACATATCCCATTTATCTCTCCAGCAGATTTAGCATGCCGACTTAAATAGCAACCGTACTTAGAACAGTGCGCAGTGCTGAAGCGTTCGGGAAAAGGGATGAAACCAGGGTTGGGGGCACCACCGAAATGGGCCACTGAAATACCTCAGCAACCGGAATTCCTATTTAGCCCACACTGTGTTCCAAGCACTCTCTTGCAGCTGAGGTTACAACTGTGCACACCACAGACCATTCCCTACCCTTCTTGAGCTTAGAGCTGGTCCCGCTCATTCTCTTGATTGCCCTAAAGTATCACGAACAAGAGGAAAAAATGATGATGGTAATCTTACCCCAAAATTGACATCTGTTCCCATTCTAGCTTCTGTCATTCCTTTCTGTCAGTTTGCTTAACAACTGAGGCTTTGGAGTCAGGCTCAGGTTCTTCATTAGTAAATGCAGATAATAATAATTATGCTAAGGTTGTTAAAATGATAAATGAGAATGCATATAAAATAAATAGCACAGTACCTGTTAAAATATTAAACACTCATTATATGATAGGTTTTATTAGGTTGTGCTCATTTTTATCATTACATTTCCTTATACTCTGCCCTCCCCCTCAGTGTATGGCACAATTTCAGGACACTGACTTGGCCATGCTCTGGTAGGATTCTTGCTCTATGTTTTTAGCTCTTTTTATTATTTTAATAGAATATTTCTGCCATAAAATTTAAACAAATTCTGATTTCCCTATTTGGATGCCTCCATTGTTTCTAAGTATCTTAGAGCTGATCATCATATCTACCTGTCTCATTTAACAGATGGCAAAACTGGTGTCAATGAGGTTAAGTGAGTTGGTAACAGATGGTCGCATAGCTAGATTTAAACTTGGTTTTTAATCCAGTGCCTGTCTGCTTATCCCACACATCAACCTCTTCCTTTATTTCTCGAATGATTTGGCGCGTGTAAATGGAGGGTACGTGTGTGCAGACGGGGAAGCACAGGTTTGTGAATGCCATCTCCTGAGCTGCTGAACTCAGCTGGCCCATTTCTGCCTCCTTTCTCCACTCCCATCCATTTTAGAGGAACTTTGCTGTCTTTTGTCCTAATGTTCATCCTTCTCAGTTTCAGTAATTTTTTTTCTTGGTCTTAGGACAGTCTTAATTCTTCTTGAGAGGAGAGAAAATAATTAACGGATATGAATCGGCCACTTACTCTACCTAAGGCACTATACTAGGAGCAGTGTGGTGTAAGAAGTGATTCATACCCTCACGAGCTTAGTCTAGTTGGAGGAGCAACACCTGAGGAAAAAAAAAGACAACTGATAGTACAAGGTAGTAATCAGCCTGTGGTAGTGCCAGATAAGTAGCAGAGATATGTGCCAGTTTTTGGAGGAAGGCATGAGTAGAATTACTGAGGGTATCTTGGGAGGCTTCACAGAATAGGTAAAACAGGTTTGGCCTTGAAGGATGGGTAGGAATTCAGTGATGAGCTAGAGCATGCTTGTACGGGCTGGTGAGAGCCAACTGTGTGCATTTCTTCTCACCTCTGCGTTCAGTGATATTATGTTGGTGGCTTGAAATCAGTCATGGTGGGAGTATTTATGCCAAGGAAATCAGCACGGGCTACAAATCAGAGTTTTATATCCTACCTCCCATCCCCAGAAAGCATGTTGCTAAACATTTACCAGCATACCACTGGGTAGGATTCCGATTCCGGAGTAGGAATGGAGAGGTACTTTTAGTCACGATCGGGGTAAAGGGAGTGACAGTCTAGGTGGGCAATGTGAAGTCACGCTTCAAGGCTGAGGAGCAGACCAGTCTGACGAAAGTCAAGTGTTCTTACAGTAGAGTCCTGGGAGACAGTGGTAGAGAAAGAGTTTGGGGAGTTTGGAAGGCTTATGAGTACAGATTTAATGGGTACTATAAACAATGAAGAATGATTGAGGATTTGTGTTTATGGGGATTTTTTTTAGCAAGTTGTGACGTTGTTTTGAGATATTTGCAAGTGGTGGGAGATTTTTGCCCATACTTATGTGACTGTAAGAGATGACATTGTTTCTCAAGTAGGTGTTCCGTTTTTGGTTTTTCAATGCCTGGTGGAAATCTGCCTCGTTGTGAGTTACCCTTTAAGTTCGTTTGTCGGGCACACGTTTGTTGTGTGCCAGGCACTGTGAGGAGTCCTGGGGATTCCTCAGGGAACCAGAAATGGCAAAGTCCTGCCCTTATAGACTTATGTTCTAAGGAACTTGAGACTGCCGAGGGGAGGTGAGGATGTGGATGCGGAAAAGCTGTGGTGAGGGAGATCATGCCTGAGGACCTTGGGGTCGGCCTCCGCTGTACTGGAGACAGCCCTGTGTGCTGAGCGTGAGAGGTAAGCCTGACAAAGAGGCTAGGAAGTTAGCCCTTTGTCTCCCATAAGAAGGCTATGAGAGACCGAGTTATTCTAAAATAAAGGTAATTCTGACTCATTTAGCCCTACATCAGATGTTCAGTTTTGCAATTTCCTTCTTTAATTTTCAGAATAGCTACAAAATGAAAAAGAACTTCATTAATCTCCAGCACAGAATTGTCAAGCTCTCACCTGGTTTACAATCAAGACCAATTAATGGCTATTTCAAAAGCAAATAGATTTTTTAAAGCTGTATTAAGTAGGGTAAGGTTAAGGTGCTTTAATAGATATCCAAAAACAGTAGCTTAAAGAATACTGGAGTTGATTTCTCTCTCACTGGACAGCCATGTCACTGCTCATCTCAGAGAAGTGGGTTGGTGCTGCTCCACGACGTCGTTTAGATACAGGTCCCTCCCATCTTGCTGCTCCCCCAACCCCCAGGTTTCAGAGAAACAGGGTGTGGCAAAGGTGTGCCCCATGTCTGAAGGCTCAGGCTTAGGAAATAGCACTCATCTCTTCCGCTTACCTCCATTGCTGAGAAGCAGTCATGTGGCCACACCTGACTGCAAGGAGGGCTGGGGAATGCCCTCTAGATGGGCAGCCATGCACCCGGGAAGAAGGGAATGCCCTCTAGACGGGCAGCCATGTACCCGGGAAGAAGGGAATGCCCTCTAGACGGGCAGCCATGCACCCGGGAAGAAGGGAATGCCCTCTAGACGGGCAGCCATGCACCCGGGAAGAAGGGAAGAGCAGAATTTAGTGGACATCTAGCAGTCTCCACGACAGGATGTCCTGGATGTTGTCATTGTTGGTCCCTTTATTACATCTGCAAGACTAACAATTACATTACTTTTCTCTCTTTCAGGCAGAATTGGGCCTAAATGAGCACCATCAAAATGAAGTTATTAATTATATGCGTTTTGCTCGTTCAAAGAGGGGCTTGAGACTCAAAACTGTAGATTCCTGCTTCCAAGACCTCCAGGAGAGCAGGTACCAGAGGGCTCCAGAGGACTCCAGTGAGGACATGGGTCCTCTCTGCTAGCCCGTTAGGGGGATGCCGTAGCAGAGGCCGTACAACCCATTGCCGGGATTGTCATGATCAGTCATTCACAGAGGGCAGCTACACCAAGCCTCGTGGATTGTGAACCTCAAGAAACCGGATTGTGGTGGGAGCACTCTATTAGCAGACACGCACATATGATAATTATGGGATTACAAAGTTTCCGAAGGGCAGTGAGGAAATTGTGAAGTGCTTGTGGGTTAATGATTGACTTGGTGTATTAAAGATTCTAGAACTTTATTTACTTGAGTTATTATTTAAAAGATTAGAGCCATATGACATGACAACTAGCAAGAAAACACCTATGCAGTTCATATTGAAGAATTGGGGGAGGGGAACACAGGGGGGAAACCGTGGAAAGGTTCCTGACGAGTACCAAGATTGTTAGTTGATTTGTAGCAAAAGATGATAATTAGTTTGGTTGGACCAATAATGGAAGATAATTAAAGTCCACAGAAAATTTATGTTTGATCTAGAGGATAATAGGGAAACCAAAGAAAAGGACTGAAAGAGACCTCAAATTCCTTGGGGATCAGACTTCAGCACACTTAAATGTCAAGTAAGACATAAATGAAAGAGAGCAACAACTGCCCTAAAGCCGTGAACTTCACTCAGTAGCAGACCAGCTACTGGAGACCGTTATCTGTTCAGCCCATTGATCTAACCTGGTAATCTGGTTTCCCAGCCCCAGCAGATGTCAGCGACAGTTTAACTGGCGAGGCTGTGGGACAGCCAGAGAGGGTACTTCATTACTCACTTATGCATCTGGGTACCTTAACTGCTGTTCATAATAATGAACTTGGGTTGCCCAAAGAAAGCATATTTTTTAAGCAGATTTGGTATGTTCTATTAAAGAATATAAAAAGATTGTTAATATATTTAATAAGGACTTTCATCAAAAATATAGTTTTGGGGGCCTGCTCCATGGCCTAGTAGTTAAGTTTGGCACACTCTGCTTCAGCTGCCCAGGTTCAGATCACAGGCGCAGACCTACACCACTTGTCAGCCATGCTGTGACCCACATATAAAATAGAAGAAGATTGACACAGATGTTAGCTCAGGGCGAATCTTCCTCAGCAAAAGAAGTAAAAGTACAGTTTTGATTTTTTTAGAATAGCTAAATTCTGCTGGCTAAGTGAAACATTAAAGAATGGTAAATCAAATAATATTAACTGAGTGTAACTGTGATAAGACTTTGGTGCAGTTCCCGTTTGTCCTTTTGGGCATGAAGAGGAAGATAAAGCTGAGGCAGTCGCTCCTCCTCTGCTGAGTGTCTGATGGCTAAGAGACGGTGAGGGTGGAGGAGGGGAGAGGAAAGGACTGTGTTACTGTGAAACTGTCATTGAAAGTAGGCGCGCACAGAAGCTTCCCCCAGGATTCCGCTGTTGGGCGTGTTGCCGAGATTGCTGGAAATGATTGTGGGGTTGAGTCACCCCCAGTGGGACCATGGGCATGTCACCTCCACCCTCCAAGCCTTTGTTCCATCTGCAAAGTGAGGGGATTGAGGAAGACGGTGCTGACATTCCCTTCCAGCCCAACCTTCTCTCTGTGAGAGCGGCTTTTTAACATTGTTGTTGATGATGTTCATTTTTGTGGAATGGTTAGTGGTCAGTGGAGCTTTGACTCCATTAACGATAAGTTAGGTTTTTTCTTTCGGGTCTCAAGAATGCTAAGAGAAGCAGTATATAATTACCATTGATTTTCTCGTAGGCATTTACTAACATATAAATAGTTCATACAATTATTGAAATCCTAGACAAATAATAGAAAGGAGAAATTACACTTTTCAGGTGACTTTTGAAATTACTAAAAGTGATAAGACTAATTTTAGGGGAGATTAAAGTAAAAAAAAATTTTAACTGAAAAACTAAAGAAAAAACCAGATAAATTGGGGAATGTTTCTGAGCATGTGCTTGTATTAAAGGATGTGCACATTTGAAGAATGAGCCACAATTTAATTGTTTAGATAGACATCAAAAATTAATTGAGCTTAAATTATTTTCAATCTGTTTTATTAATAAAGAAGCTGGTTCCCAGAGGGATTTTCACTATAACCCTTTAATCCTTTAGATGACACGAACGTGGGTTTCTAAGTTGTGTTTTATTTTGTAAATGGTGTTTGTGGTTTATCCTGAATTTTTGGATCACGGTTCTCTCCAGGCTGGTGGAGGAGACCTTCACCGCAGACGAAGTCTCGGAAGTCCTGAACGGGTTGCAGGCTGTGGTCCACAGCGAGGTGGAGTCTGAGCTCATCAACACAGCCTATACCAATGTGCTGCTCCTGCGGCAGCTGTTCTCACAGGCTGAGAAGTGGTACCTCAAGCTACAAACAGATATCTCTGAACTTGAAAACAGGTAATAAAATTTGTACCTGCAGTTATGACTGTAGAGGCGCAAGCTTGATCACAGAAGTTAGCAAATGCCTTTGCTGCTGCTTTTCTTGGGGCAGGTACGTGAGAAAGTTCGGGTAGGGTGGTGGCAGAGCATCCAGTTACTGAGTGATTTCTTAGGTGCCACTCACATCCTCTTCCAAGTTCTGTTTCTACTGCTCCTGGGTGTTTTAAAGGCCTTTCAGATGTAGGAAATTGCTTTTCAGGCCTTTATTAATAATTCCTTACAGTATCTTTATCCTGATCAGTATTATAATTAACTCTTTAGAGATAAATCAACTAAGAAATAAAGACTATGGAACAGTTGAAAAATTAATTCAAATTTATCAGTCCAGTAGTATTGGAAGTTTATAGCTAAATATTTGCATTTAAAAGTATACACATCTTTTAAAGATGAAATAGGAAGTGAAGGAGTAGGGAAGGAAACTCTATAATTCACCAACTGTCAGGAGGTGATTGGTGAGAAAACTTTGAGAAACTGACCTATGCAGAAGCTTAGAGGAGCAGTTACCGCCATTCACTTTATAAGCTTTCGTACAGTCAGCTCTCGTTTACCTTCGCAAACAGAAGGAAATGATCGGGTGGATCACCCCCAAACCATCTGTCTTTCTTGAGAATTTATCATACTCTTTTTCAGTAGGTATCATGAACTAATTCCATTTTTCCAAGACTACTCTATTAAAATCAGTTTGTCTTTCTTGAACATTTTTTCGCTAACAATTATATTATATAATAGAGCAAGCGCCCTATAGCACCTCAAAAATAGAGTTGACTACAACTTTCCAACACATTTGTATTAACATTGTGGTTCAGTTCTAGCAATTATATTGTATACTCAGTAGGTACAAAATACCAGGTGCTGTGATGTTCAAATTTGAGTCCACGTGGTTTGGATTCTCAGCTATAACTAAATATCCTATGTAGTTATATCAGTAAAGATATATCAATGACATCCTTGATAATAACTAAATACCACTTTTGATATGAAGTTTTGTTCATCTTGCTCTGCTCTCTCTGGTGTGTAATAGATTGGTACTAGTGATTTTATTTTTCTTATGTGTGATACAAATCTATTTCAAATAAATATCTTCTCATATTTGCTTTTTATCTTCAAGAGAATTATTAGAACAAGTTGCAGAATTTGAAAAAGCAGAATTTACATCTTCAAATAAAAAGGTAATCTTTGGTCATTCTAAGTCCATATCTCAATAGCCTGTATTTAAAATCTTGAAGTCACTCAGAGCATTGAGAGGCTGAAATGAGAACTCTCAAGGAAAAGCAGTTAACTCAAGAGCAGAATTCAAAGACTGCCTCTCAGATTTTTAGAAAAAAGAAGAAAACCTTTGGGAGTAACTATGAAAAACTGTTTTTGTCTGCTATCTCACACACACACGTAGGCGAAATCCTTGTAGTCCGTCTGACTCCCAGATAAAGTCTTCATTCAGATGATGCAGAGCACAGGCCGTTGGGTCAGCCAAAGCTGGGTGGACATCCCGGCTCTGTGACGCCCTAACTATGTGATCTTGAGCAGGTCACCTGAGACGGCTGAGCCTCGTCTTCCTCATCAGTCAAGTGGAGACAATACTAGTGGTTACCTACTTCTTTTCTTAATCATTCTCCTTTTTGCAGTGACTACTTAACATTCCATTGTCTAGATGTCCCATAAATACTCCGTGGTGTTGGACAGTAATACTGCTGGGATGAATCCATGAACATGCACTTACAAAATAATTTCCCACTTATTCCTTTGGTACATATTTCTGGCTAAGAAATCTCTAGGTCAGACAGCGTGGATTCTTTTGTTTTTAATACATATTGCTAAACTGACAGAATATTTGTGCCAAGTTATTCATCTATAATATAATTGCCTAAATCCTCATCAATATTACAGCTTCCCCAGAGTCTGGGGTTTAGGCAGAAATGTCTGTTCCAGCTCCCAGAGGTGAAAATCCCAGTGCCTAGATACTAGGATCTATATCTGCTCTGGGTCTGAGCGCCTTCCCTCCCTCCTGTTTCTTCCACCTCTACTTTTTAAAAAACATATAAGGATGAATTTCATTTTTATCTCTAACTTATATTGGGCCCTGTGGGCCAGGCACTGTCCCAGGCGCTGGGACGTAGCAGAGACGCAGACAGTGAAAATCCCCACACTGTGGAGCTGCCATCCAGTGGACATATTGACAGTGCCTTCCATTAGAAAGTACAAGTGTCCACTGATTACACATGATTTATTCTATGGCGATTTCAGTTTTGTTTCTTTATTTCATTTCAGCCCATCATAGATATCATAAAGCCAAAACTTGCTCCACTTAATGAAGGTGGAACAGCAGAACTCCTAAACAAGGTAATTTTGTCATCGTTTTGAGAAATGGCAAACTCTCTAATTACGTATTCTCATTGCCTGCACAACTCTAGGGTAGAGAACCTGAGGTGGAAGGAGGTTGATTCAGGCTTTGGTCCACTGAGGGTAATTAATCCATCGTAGTAGTGTTACTTTATGTTACCCACTGGGCCAGAGGAGGGCATACTTACCTTCCAGAGAGTCCGAAACTGCTCCTGATTGCGTCTTTTCATGGTGAAGTGAAGAGCATGAAATTTTTGCAGTGTTTACTGATGGATGTTTGAAGTTTATGATCTATGATAACAATGAAGAGATTTTTTTTATTAGGAGGTTTATAAAAATTAATTACCAATATACAAATATTTTTCATGACTCCTGTATTCTCAACACTATGGTAGATATTGTTAGATAAAAAGAAGAGCAATACCTGGTCCTTTGCCCTCAAAAACCTTATAGTCTCATTGGGAAGGGAAAACTAATATTCTAAAAATGGAGACAGGGGCTGGCCCTATAGCCGAGTGGTTAAGTTCATGGGCTCTGCTTCAGCAGCCCAGGGTTTCACTGGTTCAGATCCTGGGCGTGGACATGGCACTGCTCATCAGGCCACGCTGAGGCAGTGTCCCACATGCCACAACTAGAAGGACCCACAACTAAAATATACAACTATGTACTGGGGGGATTTGGGGAGAAAAAGCAGGAAAAAAAAAGAAGAAGATTGGCAACAGCTGTTAGCTCAGGTGCCAATCTTTAAAAAAAAAAAAAAAAACGGAGACAGGGGAATGTTAACCTGTGGGCCAGGTGCCACAGGGTGGCAGAGAGGACACGTTCCATGTGGGTAAGAGTGGTTGAGGACAGCCTCTTGGGAAGGCAGTGCCTGAGCTAGGCTGAAAGGCAGAGACATGAAATTGTGAGAGGGAAGAGAAGGGCCCATGGCAGGCAGGGGGACAGAATGGGCAACAGTCAGAGGCAGAAAGAAGGCTGGCATGATTTGAAACAGTGCACTGCTCTCTGACCAGGCCAATGTGTGTACTGGAATGTAGTGAAAGGTAAGACAGGACTGACAGGTGACTCTCATGATGGAGCTGCGTAAGAGCAAACGCGTTGGTGTCAGCTCAGTCAGAATCCTTTAGGCCTTGGACACAGAGTATTGGAATGATGACGATCGTGTTTTTAGGATAAGTGGTAAGTGGTGTGCGATATGGGCCAAGACTAGACGCCAGAGTTGCAGGATCAGCTAGGTGAGAGATGGCAGGGGAGGGGGAGTTTAGAGAAAGACTGAGAACAAAGGGCTAAAGAGTCTGAGAGACTGTGGGAGAAGAAACTAGAAGTCTTAGACCCAAAGAAGACACAGGTGTTGAGGCTGGTGGGCTGGTGAAATCGGGATATTACCAATGACCAGGGCATTTTGAGTTGTTATATAATTTTAAGATTAAGTTTTTAAGTGAAACAAGTAATTTCAAGTCTTAAAAATACTTTGGCTAAAATAATAAAACTTGAATTTACTCACAAAGGAAATCTTAAGACTTCAAGAAGAGAATGAGAAATTGAAGTCAAGGCTGAAGACTATTGAAATACAGGTAACTGCGCAATACTTTAACAAAATTATTGAAAGAGTTACTTACAGACTAAATACTGAATGTGTTTTGTTTAACCTTGATTATAGGCAACAGAGGCATTGAATGAGAAGTCAAAACTAGAAAAAGCACTGCAAGATTTACAGCTTGATCAAGGAAACCAAAAGGTAAAATAAGTCGTAGCTATCTTTTTCACATTTTCTAATAGAATAAGGTTATACTTAACATTGTCTTAATTACTGTTCATTATGCCCCACCCCCTGCCACTCCCTGAGAGGGATGCCACTGTTGTCCTGCATCGGGACATCCTTGCCCAGGAAAGGTCAGGTGAGGGCCGGGGAAGGGCCCAGTGGCAGCTAAACGGCTCACGTGCCTCACATGTTCCGAGAGCCCATCGGCATACAAGATATTCTTAAGTTTATTTTTTAAAAGTTCTTCCCCCTTTCACTTTGGCATTCCAATTACAATGGGCAAAAAGGCAATAAAGGAAGTGTTTTCAGTTAATTGAATTTGTATTTTGGTTTTATCAGAACTTATTATTACTTAAGTTTGCCTTCGGTGAGTATGACAAAATGGAATGAATTTACTGGTTGTGCATCTTCCAGCCATCAGTGTCTAGCAGTACCTGTGTACTGCACTGAAATCCAGTGGTGAAGTTCCCCAGGCTTGTCTGAGGGGAATCACTGACTGAGTATCGCTCCCCCTGCTGGAAGTTATTGTGTGCACAGTTCTGCCTCCTGTGGCCTTTCCATTAAGGGTGGATCCTGTACTAGGATTTCATGTCAGCGGGACCACTGCGATTTTCAGTGCAGCACTGGCTTTTCTGATAGTTGTATTGTCATTGTAAATGTCTATTAAACAATCCCCAAACCTACTTCATTGGACTTTTGTTACGCTTTCTCTATGGAAAATTTCAAACATAAACAAAACTAGAGATAATAGTATAAGGCACCCCCAGGACTTATCACTCCACTTTATCATCAGGCATGGCTAATCTGGTTTCATAGTTACCTTTCCTTTCCTCTCCCCTCCCCTGTTTTTTTTTTTTGGCAGCAAATCTCAGACATTACATCACTTTGTCTGTATTTTTAAAATAGGAGGATACTTCTTATATGGCTTTAAAAAAAAGGAAAATATATATGATTTTCAACCATTATAACCAAGGACCATAGAGTTATAAAACAAAGAGCTAAATATTCCAGAACAGCTTTATAATTTCTCATAAGCAAAACAATTGCAAACATTTTTGGATGATGAATTTGTTTTAAAAGCCATTTTGGACTTTGCTCCAATTTTACTTTTAAGATTTTGGCACGAGCAAAATGCATACACAACTTCACTAGTTGCAATGAAATAAAATCTTTTTTAAAGACCAAATTTCAAAAATGAGAAAGGAATTTTTCTTTTATTGATAATACTGCTTCATCTTCATATTTAGCAATTATAGACCATTTTCCTGTCTTATTAATACAACTCTTCTGTTACAAATTTTATCCACTCAAAAACAAGACCCAGGTAGGGAGAAGATCCAGCTGTTGTGTTATACTGACAAAGGGTGCAAACGTGCATATCACTAGTTAATATGAAAAACTTAGAACCTTGTAAATTTAGCAAACCATATAATCAGTAAGCATTAATTAGGTTCTCATATTTATTGAAAATGAGTAAAACATATGACTGTTACGTTTTTTATGTAGATTATATTAATGTTATTATTTTTCCATCTGTATCATTTAAAATTCTTCACCAGGATTTTTTTTTAACTTGACTTTTCAAAAATGAAACCTAATTGCCATCCTAACCTATTTGACGCGCAACCTTGTCAAATTTAGAATCTCACCTCTCTCCTGTTCCTCTTCAGAATTCCAGCAGTTTGTAAATCACATTTTACGTCCTTGGAAATCAGTGACTGCTGAGTGTCTGCCGTGTGCAGGACACCCTGTGCACTGAGGGCTGAGGGCACGCTGGGCATGCTGGCGACCCTCGCGAAGCTAGAGCTTTCCCAGGCTGGCAAGGGACGCTAACGTGCTTTCATCTCATGATGTTGAATTACCACACTAAAACAGTTACTGTTTAGGATGTTAACATGAATTTATGTTAATGTATGTATTTTTCATAGGATTTTATAAAGGCCCAAGACTTGAGTGACTTAGAAAACACCGTTGCTACCTTGAAGAGTGAGTTTGAGAAGACACTGAATGACAAGACAGAAAACCAGAAGTCCTTGGAGGAGAAGCTCGTGACAGCCAAGCATGACCTACTCAGAGTTCAGGAGCAGCTGAGCCTGGCTGAGAAGGTCGCATTCGTTTGTTCCTGTCCAGTTGAAGGATGAGTGCAGTGTAGAGGGACAAGAGTACCTCAGGGAGAGGCTGGACGGCTGCAGGTTCACCTTGTTTTGTCAAGGATTAGCCAATATGTGTTCTAAAGGTTTATCATTTCTGGGCACCAAGAATCTTCCATCTTTGGCACTAAAATATCTGTGATAATAAAAAATCTCCACTCCTTCCTATGCCATGATCAGATGCTCCTCCCCAGGTGGCTTACAACTGCTGGCCCGCACCCCACGTTGCCCTCCTGCCCATCCCTGCTGCAGCCCAGCAGAGGGAGGGTGACCTTTTTTTTTTTAAAGGATCCTATACTTTTTTCTTAACTTATGTGAAATGCATAGAGAACGGGTTCTTCACTTTAGAAATGAGACTCTTAAGAACATGGGAGCTAAAATTTAACTAAATTGAAAGTCCTCCTCCTAAAACACTGACACTGCTCTGGATTTGGAAAAAAGATCCTGGTTCTTTTACCTGAAAATCAATTTACTATTTCAAATGTATTTCCCACGTCTAGGGCTTAGTATGTTTGAGTTATTTGCTAGCATTGCCCTTGGGAAAATGTTACTATTTTACTGGCTTCTCATTTGAAAGAATGTATTTTTAAAGTTTCAATAGTCTTAATTTTATAGAAGTATTTTTTTAAAAGAAATTAGAAATGAAGATAAGCAGAATATTAGTAAAATTAGAGCAAAAAATAGACATTTTCATCAGATTCATTATTTCTTTCCTTAACTGTTTCTTAGTAATGGGCTGACATTTTTCACTACGCAGGAATTAGAGAAGAAATTCCAACAAACAGCAGCTTATCGAAACATGAAAGAGATTCTGACCAGGAAGAACGACCAAATCAAAGACCTGAGGAAAAGACTGGCAAAGTAAGCCATGCCGACCCCACCCCTCGGGTTTGTCTCTCCACTGGGCTGATGTTTGTCCTTCATTGAATCTAAGCTGGCGTCAGAGAGGTCGGGCCAGTGGCCGTTGCTCTGCCATCGAGTCCAGAAGCCTGCGTCTGAGGGAGCAGAGGGGCTCTGGCCAGGCCTCGTCCGCAGTGCCCACCAGGGCTGCTTTTGAGGTCCAGCTGGAGCTTCAGACTCACACGTGACTACAGTAGGCTACTCTCGGCAGTGGAGTCACTTAGCAGCATCAGACAGGAAACGCAGCAAGCTAGCCAGACAGCTTTAGGCATTTCTCCTCAGTGGTGTCCTTGCAGCAGTCCAACACCTGGTCATATGTGTCCTCGAGTGACAGTTTAGGTGCTAGAGAATGAGGTCCATGCAGATGGGTGCCATAGCCAGCGTGGCTTAGACGTCTGTGCTCCACATGGGACCAGTATCTCTAGTACAACCACGTGATGCCCAGGGAGGAACATGGCTGTTACCAGAGCTCACCGCGGAGACAGGAGCCTAAAGCTGCGACTCCCACCGGGTAGTCATGGTTTGTTCACAGTTCTGTCCACATGTGGTCATTTTTGTCATTAGCAGTTTTGCCTGGAAACTCAGCTGACATTTTACCTTGATCAGGGTTCCAGGGCCACAGAGCTAGAAAGTGAATCTGAGATCACATTTGTCCTTAGAGAAGGAGGTTTGCTAACCTTTTACTCACACAGCCATTCAGCTATTTGTGTCCATCTGACCATTTAGATAATTAGTGAATTTCTCTTCTAAGCTGTCATGGATCTAAGTGCCAGATACAGACTCAGAGTCTGCAGGTATCTGGCAGTTACCGGGTCCATCCTCCCACCTGCTGCAGGAATCCCGAGTCACCAGCTAGGTGCCGGGAGGTGTCTGATGTCTGCGCTAGCAGTGCTCTCACGGGAGAATCGCGGTGCTGCTGGTTTAGTCACTGGAGAGGTTTCAAGGAAACTCATTTGGTAACAACAAACAAAAGTCTCTCGATATTATGTTCTTAATTTCTCTCTCTTTCCAGGTATGAATCTGAAGACTGAAAAGATTTCACCTGGAAGCTGCCACAGCATGACAGGACAAGCTGTTGTCACCTCAGGCATGTATTCCGAAGCAGTTTATTAATTCCCTCTCTTATTTTTCTAATATTTAGACTTTGCTTCTAAAATTTAGAACTAGAGTTTCTATTTCGGTTACCTAACTGAGAAGATAGAAAGCCTGCTGACTGATTCTGGCCGCTCACCCCACACTCCTCTCTGCCGCGTGTCGCAGTCTCGGTTCAGACGCAGTGAGGGTTCTTCATAGTGAGAAGAGCGCCAGTGGGGAGAACAGTCATAGTCTTTGGCGTTAGTATCAAGAGTATACGTTTGTAATAAGTGTTAAAGCTGGCATTGTCTACACTTGTGCATTCCCCAGGGTAAAAATAAATGTACTGTTATTAAAGATAGTTACTATGAATAAACCTTATTTTTAAAAATGAAATCTCATTTATTTTCACTATTTGATCACCAAAAAAGATGAATTCATTGAAAATATGAATACCATCTACTATAGGCAGCATTTTTACCAATTATAGGGAAAATTAACAGTGAGCATGAGGACTCAGTTAACTTCTTTGGTCTCTCGAGCTAAATGCTGTGTTTCTCCGAAGAGGGTCAGACACTTTTTGCAACATGACTTATTATGAGTCTATATTACTGATGGAGAAGTCAGATCCGTCCTGTAGTTCTCCAGTTGAGAAAATGTCTGGACTCAGAATAAATGTAATCTTTGTACTTCAGTTTCGACAATATTCTTTTAAATTACATGTTAAATAGGAAAACTTTTAAAAAGACTTACATTCAACATAAAATCGGTTCCCAGACCTCAGATTCAACTTTTGATTATAGTTTATTTATATACATCTACAGTAACTGCATTTTTGAGAGGTTTTGATTGTAGTTTCATTGGTCCTGCTTTTTCTTGAGTGATTTTGGAGAGAGCCTTAGGAATTAGGAGCCACATCTGCAGTTGTATAATGCAACTAAACACCATAAGGATAAGAAGTGAAATGCGCTTCATGAAGCCGTAATGCCTCAGAAGGAAGGTACTTACTTTTAACACATTATTTAGAAAGTGATTATTCCCACCTCCAAAAGCAGAGTATTGTCCCCTAAGTGAACACTGTCTAGTAACAGAGGCCGCTCTGCTTCCACAAATGAGGATTTTATTCACCAAAAAGAGTTTACTGGTCAGAGGATAAAGCTCGTTGTTATTTGTATTCAAGTTTTTAATACTAGCCTTGAATTTGTCATTTTTATTATAGAATCTATGTTAAAATATTGAAGGAACAAATGATAAAGGGCAAGATAATTTCCTCCCAAAAGGACACAGAAGACAGTCTTAAAAAGATGAATGAATCAGAGGGAGGGAAAAAATCCGGTAACAAGCCAGCACTTACCACATATTCTTTCCCACCTGTGTCTCACTATTCAGGCCGCTTATCAGCTTCCGTGTCCTTTCAGAGCTGTCACTGAGGGTTCCAGTCTCACCCCTTATTTCTTTAGCCCCAAAACTGATAGTCTCTCCAAAAATCTGTTACATTGTTTATGGACCAGGATATTCTATATAATTCAGAAACAGAACTCTTGATGAAATGGCTAGTGTATCCTTCAGAAACCGTTTAATTATTTTCTCCCTACACCTTTCTTAGTTTGATGCCCAAAGGGAAGATAAGTATGTTGAGAAACCTGTATTGCCAAGTACAATTTCAACTTGCTTTTTGGTAGCAACTTTGAAATATTCTGTGTAGTATGTTTCAGTTCAATAATAAATTCAAAAGGATTTCTGATACCTTAAAACCTAACTATGATCCACATTAAGATAAACAAATATGATGTTCTTTGACGTAAATCCACATGATTCTTTCACATATAAATACTTTCTGTGCTTTGGCTTGTCACTGTTTTGTATGTGTGTGCATTTTTTAACTCATGCCCTTAGCAAAACGCAATTTAAAATTTTTATTTTTGAATATTTTCCTAGTTTTAAGATTTATCTGATTTAACTAAGAAAGCAAGCCCTTTTAGTCTACTTATTTCGGGTTTCTAAGAATGTTGGCTCAAGCCCTAATTGAACTTTCAGTGTGCTGAGCTGTGTAGACTGCACTGGTGGCTGTCATAACGCAGCTGTGGTTTAACTTAAATATTCAAGGCTCCTGCTAAATTAGGACTCAGACCTTTTGTTGACAAAAATCAAATGTAAGTGGTGTTTGTTACTAATTTCTTCTGTTCAACATTTAAGTGTTTATTTTTTCTCATTATGTATTACATTTTGTGTCTATATTAAATAAATGTTTCATGATTATTTGCTTGTCCTATATAACTCATTATAAGGAAAATATTGCTCTCCATTGAAGTTGTAATCCTATTTGATAAAACCTTTGCTATTTGCTATTTCTAGTCTGATGAACTGAAAAGGGTTTATAAAGATGTTTACATTTTTAAATGCTCGGTGCTGGGGCTGGTCTGGTGGTGCAGCAGTTAAGTTCACACATTCTGTTTCTCGGTGGCCCAGGGTTCACCGGTTCGGATCCCAGGTGCGGACACGGCACCACTTGGCAAAAGCCATGCTGTGGTAGGCGTTCCACATATAAAGTAGAGAAAATGGGCATAGATGTTAGCTCAGGGCCAGTCTTCCTCAGCAAAAAGACGAGGATTGGCAGTAGTTAGCTCAGGGCTAATCTGCCTAAAATAAATAAATAAATAAATAAATGCTTGGTGCTTTTAGATATATTGGACTGCAAACATTCGGCATTAATGATTTCCTTTTACTTATGTGTAAATGCTTATATTCTAAAGCTTTGCCATTAGAAATTCAAGACATGATTTCTCTCATGTGAACAAGTCTTTCAGAAATAAAAGCCATCTCAGCAAAATATTATTTAATATTTAGACAAAATAGTAATACTTAGGCAATAAAATATTTAAACAAAATTTTCAACACTGCTTAGAGAAAAATGTTTCAGTATTTTACAGATAAAAAACTACCAATGTTAGACAAAACAAAATTGGAATTTGAAAGTCCTTCATAATTTTTGAAAAGTAACAGTTGACCTGCTATCAAATTAATAGCTTATTAAATGGATTTTCATGAGCACTTAGAAAAGAAACTTATAATCACCAGGAGCCAACATGGGTCTCCATAGCAAGAAATCATGGCAGACTAAACTCTTTTCTGTTTTAGGAGAGAGAGAGAGACAGTATATCAGGATGTCAGCAAGATGCTTGACAGACTTCATGATAACCTTGGTGAACAGGGTCTTACTTGGGTTCTCCCAAATGCAGACTTTTAGATAAGGACTGGGGAGGTGATTCTAGGAAGTCTAGGGAGTCTAGAGATTCTAGGAAGTCTAGTCTCTAGGGAGACTGAGGAATTGAGACAAATTGCAAGAGTCACCACTATGGGCACCTGGGGCTCAGTCCTGCTGGGGACACCCTGAGGCACTGTATGGAAAACATCTCCAGATTCTTCCACTGTCTAGTCTAGATTTCCCCTTGCCCTCAACTAGCATTTCTGCTGGTCAACATTGCTTGTGTACTGAGATGAGCCAGACCTTCCTCTCTTAGACATCTGAGCCCCTGATTCTTTTGCCCTTGTCATGCTGTCGTTGTGAAATTTCCCATTTATTGTTATCCCCAAGTATCACCAACAAGCACCCCATGAATCCTAAGTCCAGATTCACACTATATAATCCAGGTTCAGATCCTGGGCGTGGACATGGCACCGCTCGTAAGGCCATGCTGAGGTGGTGTCCCACATGCCACAACTAGAAGGACCCACAACTAAAAAAATATATCTATACAGCTATACACTGGGGGGATTTGAAGAGAAAAAGCAGAAAAAAAAAAGATTGGCAACAGTTGTTAGCTCAGGTGCCAATCTTTAAAAGAAAATAAGAATAGTCAACACTATTGAAGAAGAACGAAGTAGGCGGACCTACATTACCTGATGTGAAGACTTACTGTAAAACTGTGGTAATAAAGATGGTGTGGTACTGCTGAAAGAAGAGACAACCAGATCAATGGAATGAAGAGCCCAGAAATAGACCCACATGAATATAGTCAACTGATGTTTGACAAAGGAGCAAAGGTGGTACAATGGAGCAAAGATACTTTTTCAGCAAAGGGTGCTAGAACAACTGGCCATCCACATGCAGCAAAATGAATCTTGACACAGACCTTACACCTTCACAAAAAGCAGCTCAAGGGGGCCGGCCTGTGGCCGAGTGGTTGAGTTTGCGCGCTCCGCTGCGGTGGCCCAGGGTTTCATGGGTTTGAATCCTGGGCGCGGATGTGGCACCGCTCATCGAACCATGCTGAGGCGGCATCCCACATGCCACAACTAGAGGGACCCACAACTAAAAATACACAACTATGTACCAGGGGGCTTTGGGGAGAAAAAGGAAAAATAAAATCTTAAAAAAAAAAAAGTAACTCAAAATGGATCATAGACCTAAGTACAAAATGCCAAACTATAAAACCCCTAGAAGTTAACATAGGAGAATAACCTTGGTGACCTTGGGTATGGCAATGACTTTTCAGATACAAGACCAAAGGCACAATCCATGAAAGAAAGAATTGAGAAGCTGAACTTCATTAAAATTAAAAACTTATGCTCTGAAAAAGACAACGTCAAGAGAGTGAGAAGATAAGCCACGGACTGGGAGAAAATATTTGCAGAAGACACATCTGGTAAAGGGCTGTTATCCAAAATATACAAAGAACGCTTAAAACCCACCAGTAAGAAAACAACCTGATTTAAAAATGGGCCAAAGATTTTAACAGACACCTCACCAAAAAAGACACACAGTTGGCAAATAAGCATATGAAAAGATGCTCTACATCATGTGTCATCAAGGAAACAAATTAAAACAATAAGACACCACTGCACATCTATTAGAATGGCCAAAATCCAGAACACTGACAACACCAAATGCTGGCAAGGATGTGGAGCAACAGGAACTCTCATTTATTGCTGGTGGAAACACAAAATGGTACAGCCACTTTAGAAGACATTTGCGCACTTTATTACAAAACTAAACATACTCTTACCATATGATCCAGCAATCACGTTGCTTGGTATTTACCCAAAGGAACTGAAAACTTATGTCCACACAAAAACCCACACATAGATGTTTATAGCAGCTTTATTCATAATTGCGGGAAACTTGGAAGCAACTAAGATGCCCTTCAGTAGGTGAATGGATCAATACACTGTGGTCCAGCCAGACACTCTGCCCCCGGGGAACTTCAGCTGCTGAGTGGGACTGTAGAGCAACGGCAAGCCACTTTGGGCTTGTACCCAGATAGTGAGCATCATCGGAGGAGAGAAACTTGAAGATGGAGTAAGTATAGACATCTCTTGATGAGTTTTGCTATTAAACAGAGGAGAAAAAAAAAACAGGGCAGAAGCCAGAGGGTTGAGATCTGGGGTCGTCTTGT